TATAAAGATATATTTAAATATATCATTTTTATTTGTTACATTTATTTTTATTTGTTAGATTTTTTTTATTTATTTACACTTTTCACAATTTTTTTTACAATTTTTATTTTTTAAAAACGTTTTACATTTTTTATTTAATGATATCAAGCAGCTATTGTGAATTAATGTCACTATTACTGCTTGATAAATTAATACATTTTGATATTTTTAGGCTGCTTTAAACTTATGAACAGCACCTTAGTGACACTGATTCTGCAGCATTTCAGGATCAGCTGTCACTAAAGGTTTTCTGATCGTTCCAACAACGATCAGAAAACAAACATTGTTTCAGAATAGATACATTATGTATCTATTGGTGAAAGTAAAAAAAATTCTCAGCGGTTACCAGCCTTCTAGTGCAGCAAATAACTTGTCCCGTACAGGGCCAGTCATTTAAAGTGACATTAAACCCTCAGATTTTTTTAACATAAACCAATACTGTAATGTGTGCCTTACTGTAATCCATTGTTGTTTCCCTTCTCTTTGCTGCTCTTCCTTTTAAATCCTCATGTCTTCTCATGCTGGGGGAGAACTTCCCTTTGCAGCTCAGGGCCTCTTCCTGAAGTGCTGGCTCAGGTTTCAGACCTGAGCCAGGACTTCAGGCAGACACCATGTATCCATTCCAGAGACAAGGCAGTCTGCTGCAAAACAGAAGTTCTGTCCAGCATGAGAACAGATACAGATTTAAAAGGAAGAGCAGCAAAGAGAAGGGAAACAACCATGGATTACAGTGAGGCACACATTACAGTATTGTTTTATGTTAAAAAATCTGAGGGTTTAATGTCACTTTAAGCACTTCGTGACGGGACGTATAGTGTACATCTCCCGTCACAAAGGGGTTAATCGATTATGAAAATAACTGTTAGTTGCAGCCCTACAAAAATCATTTAGATACATTATTTAGAGACATTAACATACAGGAGTACAGATACTCTTAATGACTGGAACACACAGAGACTCATATTGCCACATATGCTCACAAAGCTTGAACTCGATGAACCTGTGTCCTTATTCAACCTCAAATACTATGTAACTAACAGAAGAATGGAAACTGCCCTAATGAAAGTATGTTTAAATACACCGCTTTCTACACATCTGGGTTATAAGCAATTATATGCAAGACAACTCGACTCGTTCAAACGGCAATGCTCTTCTGAGACTCTACTGCAATATCTACATTAGCCTATTCCACACACGTTTACCTAAAGACAAGCATGCAATCAAAGGCCTGGGAAAAATGAGAAAACATGCAGTACTTCCCATATAGGGCCCATGTGCACACTACTTGTGATGCACTGACATATGCACTGAAACATGCTTTATTGTGCGTTGCGGTGTGTTACAGCAGCTTATTCATTTTGAATGGGTCCCCAACACAGACAAAAAAAAAAGCTCCTTCCCCAATTTTTTTGAACCACAGTTCACTACAAGGCAAATAAAGCATTGTGGTGCACTGTAATGCAGCTGCGTTTTGGAAACGCATCGGGGTGCAAAAGTGAATTACACCTCATCGCATTTTACTCTGCTTGGTGTGCTACTCCGTGTTGTGCTGCAAAGTCTTGGTAGCTGCTCTGGTGGGAAGCCAAAGGATCATAGACCTCCTCTAATCCCACTTAATAAACAGTAAAAGTGTGATTTATTTCCTCACACAACCTATCCACACTGCTATCTCAGATAATCATATATTTTCAAAGATGTAAAAACGTAATACGTTAACCTGCAGAAGACACACCAGGTAGTGTAAAACTACAGTATTTACATCAAATGAAGGACTGTCTTGGGATCTGAAAAACAGTCACAATTTACTACACAAACACTTGTGTATGTTTTAATTTTTTTTGTCTTTTTTTTTTTTTTAATATCTCATAAACATTATTTCAAGAATAAAAATTTAAAAAAATTCTTGATATTATTTTAGTCTGGAGCTCCAAATAAAATTAATATTTAAAAATGGTGTCTTCAAATAAGAAAGACTCATATTTTTACTTCCACTGGCACAAACTGGTGAATAAGATTATTGTTGTCATTTATGATTGACCTGTTTCTCAATAAACAATTATTGTTAAAAAAAGATTGATAATACAGGATGTTAAACTAAGTAGTAAAATGTATCAGCATATTTAACATTGCATACTTGCTCTATTTCTTTGCAGCGCCGGTTAAGAGAAAGAAACTTGCTCTTATTAAGCTGTCTCATTCGGTGCTGAGCCTCCTCCTCTTCCTCGTCTTGTATGTTTTCAACAGCAAGTCCGCCATCAACAAATTCAACTTCTGTTTCTAGCTCGCTCTCCAAGATATTTCCGCCGAAAAGTGGAGGTAGAGCAAGCTCAGATCCAGGTGGCACAGAAAATTCTTCAAAGTTGACAGCCATATTGGACGATCTATACAACAAATACATTATATTATTATATATTAGCATTTATACCTTCATACACACATACAGTAGTTGGGTCCATTGTGTAGACTGTATAAATATTCTAGAAATCAATGACTTCTATGATCTAAATTTGTTGGAAAATGTAATATCGTGAAAGAAAGTGAAAGAGACAAAAAGTCTGAAATGGTTCACAGTATTGGCAGGTCAGTTTCCTTCCACCCAAATACAGATTTTTCTTGTTCCAGCTAAAGTAAATGCTAACCTAGAAATTACAGCGCCAGACCTTTGGTATCGTTATCTTTTGGTCGTTTTGGGCAGTCTGTGTCTCCGTTGGGGTGACTGAAGCAAACATCCAATATTTTGAGTTGACATCACTAAAGGAATAATAGCAAAATATTTCAATGGGTGACAACTGTCTTCTGGTTTACCTCACATAAGAGATTTTCTCTCAGTTCATGGAAAACAAAACAAAACAAAACAAAACAAACAAAAAAAAGAAACCTGAGAGGGGTGTTAACCAATCCCTGCTAAATTAATAATCTCAAAGAAAATAAAAAAAGTTAGAGTAGTTACCTGATAACACAATTTTCAGGAATCTTTCAGGTTAGCACATGAGGGGCTCCACCCACCTAAACAGGAAATACAATGCTCACTGATTATAAAAGTGCATGCTCAGACAAACAGCCTCAATAATGAGAAAGAGCCATAAAGCAAACCATACAAAATGTAACATATAAAAAAATCCACATAAACAAAGGAAGGGAATATTTTCCTGAAACATTAATTGAACTTGAGCTACAAGCATAGGCGTGCGCACAGGGTGTGCCTGGGCATATCCTAATAACCCCAAGTGCAGAACTAAAACCACAACAGCAGGCGCCGTGTTTTTAGTCACTGAGCCGGTGGAGAGATCACAAAGATTTTTTGTGACCAACTCAGTGATGCAGAGCACAGCAGCACTTACCACTTACATTCCTAACATAACAGATGCATTCCTCGGTGCCTGGGAAGATGTAAGGGAGCATGGCCATCCAATCAGGAAGCCGGGCAGGTGGTCACACGACCACCTGCCAGGCTCCCTGCTTCATAAATATTCCGCGGTCAACTGTTAGTGGTATTATAACAAAGAACAGCAACTGAGCCACGAAGTGGTAGGCCATGTAAAATGACAGAGCGAGGTCAGCGTAAGACACCCTGACTGGTAAGACACCCTAATATTTTTCAAGCCCTGGTCATGCCCAACCCCATACAATAACCTGTCCATCCGTTCTGCAATGTGTCGAACACAAGCCCCCTATAAGCATCAGACTGTTTGACGCTCACGGTCTTGATGACAGAGTACCCTGTCTGTCCTTCTGGTAATAGAATCCCCCACCACCAAAATCTGTCTTTCCTGTCCCTCTATCCTGCCCCCATCCTTACTGGAGCAGTCACTTTCTCTGCAATGCCACCCCTGAACTAATATTCCCAACATCCTGCAACCTGGTAAATGTATTGGGGTGTATTCATTCAGGGCTAGCCTCACTCGCACTCTTCCCTCTACCCAGCCTTCTAACAGTAACCCAGCTACACACCTCAGGATCCTGATCCTCCAAACCCCCCTCCACCAGATCCAGACTCCTCTCCATGTTTTTTATGCTCTGCAGTATTGTCAGTTTATTGTTTAGATCTAGAATCTGGGCTTCCAAAGAAACAACTAGCTCACATCTGGTGCAACAGTATTCGCCCTTGAACGCATGTTCAGGAGTCGCATACATTGAGCAAGATGTGCACCGGGTTGCATACCTACTCAAGGCAGAGATTTTTTTTTTTGTTTCCTACTTTTTACTAATTATTTATTTGTTTTAGGCCAGTCAGTACCCCAGTAATTCCCAGCAGATTGATTGTTATTCCCAATGCTCAGCAGATACTAATAATGTGGTCAGTGCCCCAGTAATTCCCAGCAGTTTATTACTCCTAATGCCCAGCAGTTGTTAGTAGCACACCCAGTACCACAGTAATTCCCAGCAGACTATTAATCTTAATGCCCGGCAGCTATTAGTACACAGTTATTACCGCAGTAACTTCCAGCAGAATATTTCTTTTAATGCCCAGCAGTTATTAGTACACCCTCAGTAGCACAGTAATTCCCAGCAGACTATTACTCCTAATGCTAAGCAGTTATTGGTACATAGTACCGCAGTAATTCCCAGCAGACTATTCCTCCCAATGAACAGCAGTTATTAGTACACCCTTAGTACCACAGTAACTCCCAGCAGACTATTACTCCTAATGCGCAGCAGTTATTAATACACAGTTAGTACCGCAGTAGTTGACAGCAGATTATTACTCCCAATGCTCGGTATATATTAGTAATACAGTGAGTAACACAATAATTCCCAGCAGACTATTACTCCCAATGTACAGTGGTTATTAGTACAACAGTCAGGACCACAGTTATACCCTAGCAGATTATCACACTTAATAACCAGCAGTTACCTCAGTAATGCTTATCTGCTTAGTGGATTAATATTTATTTTTTTCCCCCTCAGATTTTCATTATACAATAATATCAGCCAAACCCTATCCCCCCTCACACACAGATTATCTGCCCGATCAGTTCCACTCCCCCCTCTCAGCACTCCACTCACTCAGTTGATCTGCCTTGATTGCTCCTTTCCATTCACCCCGCGATCGCAGCACGGCACACCCTCGCAGTTTCTTTCCTCTCCTCTCACTCCTCTGACTGCAGCAGCATGATCTCTGATCATCCCTTAACAATCACTCCTCCGATCACACCGATGGCTCCTGCTGCAGCGATGACGCTCCGTCTGCGCGTGTCTCACAGCTCCGTGTCCGGCATTATTATATCAGTTTTTAAGGTGAGACTCTAACATCAGCGATTCTCAGACCCTTACAGCATACATTCCCAGGTTGTACAGTTGTGTGAAAAAGTGTTGGCCCCCTTCCAGATTTTTCATTGTTTGTCACACTCTAAGATCATCAAACAAATTTAAATATTAGTCAAAGATAACACAAGTAAACACAACATGCAGTTTTTAAAGGAAGGTTTTTATTATTATGGGACATAACTTAACTCTGGTTTATATCACCTGAGTTCAAAGAGAAGGGAAACAACCATGGATTACAGTAAGGCACACATTACAGTATTGGTTTATGTTAAAAAATCTGAGGGTTTAATGTCACTTTAAATAAGACTTGACATTAAAAAAAAAATAAAAAAAAAATAAGACTTGACTGACAAAAGTGAAGTAGACCAAACGATCCTCAAAAGCTACACATCATGCCAAGATCCAAAGAAATCCAGGAACAAATGAGAAAGAAAGTAATTGAGATCTATCAGTCTGGAAAAGGTTATAAAGCCATTTCTAAAGCTTTGGTACTCCAGCGAACCACAGTGAGAACCATTATCCACAAATGGCGAAAACATGGAACAGTTGTGAACCTTCCCAGGTGTGGGCAGCCAACCAAAATTACCCTGCAGGCCACACTTGCCTCAGTTCAGGTCAGTGTTCATGACTCCACCATAAGAAAAAGACCTGGCAAAAATGGCCTGCATGGCTAAGGTTGGCCCAACCAGTTATTAGGTTTAGTGGGCAAACACTTTTTCACACAGGGCCATGTGGGTTTGGATTTTGTTTTCCCTTAATAATAAAAACCTTCCTTAAAAAACTGCATGTTGTGTTTACTTGTGTTATCTTTGACTAATATTTAAATTTGTTTGATGATCTGAAACATTAAAGTGTGACAAACGTGCAAAACAATGACAAATCAGGAAGGGGGCCAACACTTTTTCACACAACTGTAAATTCTGGGGGTACCAGACAACAATGACAAGATAAGGACTGACCATGGTACCAGACTCTGTTATACTGTGAGATTAATGGAAATGCCATGTCTCGAGCTTAACAAAAGGACAAAATAAATATTCATCATATTTTTTTTTTCTTTCTTATCGTTACCATCTAGGAAAAAAAGCTCACAATAAATGTTACCTTGTATACAGTATTATTATTTGATAGGAATGGTGTAACCAATTGTGGTAATGTGTAATGTATTATCATTATTATTGCATGAAGCATCTAAATATTTGCTTAATTGAGTAATTTTATATATTTTGTATACAATATTCATGTTTTTGAAAGTACAAATAATTCCATTAGGTATATTAGTATTTCTGTAATTATTGAAAGAATGTAGGTAATCACTGTCTCTTAGTGCAGATGACTTCATTCTCAATGTATGTAGAAGAGAATTGTTTTTCTTGCTCAAACTTTCTCAAGAAATATATCTCTTAAAGGGACAGTAGGTCTGACAAGTTCTGCCAAGTAACAGGCCGCTGTTTTAAATTTTATAGACTTAGGCCAAAGATCAACTAATGGAATAATATTGGAATTTTAAAGAAAATTCAAACAATGCCCTCTTCAGGTAATTGTGTATATTAGTTCAGGCAAAGGGGATTATTATGTTTAAAGAAAAGTGAGACTATCCGGACGTCAAAATAAAGTTGAGATAAGCTTTCTCCTCCTACATTTTTGGGTGATAAAATTTAGGAGGAGTTAAAAGTTAAGAGAGGGGACTGAAAAAAAAGACAGTTCTTTGTATTTGATAGGGGAACTGAGACATAAAGACACATAAAGGAGAGATTTAACGTTGATTGACGAATTGAACAAAGAGAACCTGAACATCTCTTGTCCCTACACTGACACAAAGCTGACATCTCTAAGAAAAAATAATTTTCAAATTTGTGATAAAGTATAGATTTCTATTTATCTGTAAGCAATTTACTAGC